ATGTGGTTTAACTTTTAGGAGCAAAATTGAATTTTAGGAGCCATCCCAAAGCTCAGGGAGGGTTTCCTCTCTCCCCCAGAGCAGGTCGGACCAACAGCCCCCCCAAAAAAAAAAGGAACAAGCCACGAAACAGGAGGAAAGTTGTGCCAGGGGAAAGTTTAGGTTGGATATGAGAAAAAAATTCCCTCCTGGAAAGGGTTGTTCGAGGAGTCTTTATCCCTGGAGGGATTTCAAAGCCGTGCTGGGGATGTGGGGTCAGCGGTGGCCTCGGGAAATGGGTTTTGACTCCGTGATCCTAAAGGGCTTTTCCAGCCTTTAATGATTCCCTGATTTCCCCCCCCTGTTTGCCATAAGGAAAACTCTGATTTTTGCCATATAAAACCCGAATATGAAGCACCAGCAAGAGGGTTTTAGGCGGGAAATTGGATCCCAAATTTTAATCCCTGGCAATCCCATTATTTAATTCAAGGGGAAGTTCTGTAGGAATTTTGATCCCAAACTTTGCTAATCCCACAAGGCAGGATGTCAGTCCCAAAGTGCTGCCTGAGCCAGGCCTTGAATTCGGGAATTTGGGATGTGTTTCCTCCGATTAGGGTGGGATGGGAGGTTATTCCTGTTTGGGAATTCACTTCCTTTGCTTCAGGAGAGGAGGTTCAGGGTTAAATGGAAGAGGATAAAAAAATGAGGGGTGAGGTTACAGATTGGCACAAATTCCAACAGAATTCCAACAAAACCCCTCCAAAAAAAGCCTCCCAGGTGCCTCTGAGGGGGTGGCAGCAGGTAAAGACTCCCCTGAGCTTGGGTGATGACCCAAAAAAAAAGTATCCTGTCACCTGTTGGAGCTCCCAGGAAGCTCTTCCCAGCAGGGGGAATGATCCTGGAATCTGCAGCTGCAGGAATATCCATCCCAGAGGAATGATCCTGGATTCTGCAGCTGCAGGAATATCCATCCCAGGGCAGGATCTCCCATCCTGGAGGGTTGATTAACCCCCCCCAGGCTCACTTTGGAGTTGAATCCCCTGCAGGAGCACTTTGGTGTCACATCAAATCAGAGCCGGGAGCGGATGAGATGCTGGGGGTGGTAAAGCTGCTGGAGGACCATCCCAAATCTGTTCCATCTTCTCCTCCCAGCCATGTCTCCAGGCCAGGACAGCCATTCCAGCATGGAACAGCTCCCTGCATCCGAGCAGATCCTGCAAACCTTGAGTGAGCTGGCCAGGTCCTTCCAGGAGATGGCCGATCGCTGCCTGCTGGTGCTGCACCTGGAAGTCAGGTAAAACACCCGGAATTTGGGATTGCTGGGCCGGCCTGGCAGGCTGTGGGGGATGGAGGAGCTGTCCAGAGTACAGATTGTGGCATCAGAGACGGGTAAATTTGCCTGGGGCAGCATCAAAGGCCAGTCCAGAAGTGCCAGATCACAGCACCAGAGATGACCAAAAGTGTGAGGGGGGCAGGAATTGCTCAGGGAATTCCGTGTCTTAATTAGCAGAGAGATTTAGATTAGGGAGAAATTCCTGGCTGGGAGGGTGGGGAGGGGCTGGACTGGATTTCCCAGAGAAGCTGTGGCTGCCCCTGGATCCCTGGGAGTGTCCAAGGCCAGGTTGGAGCCACCTGGGATAGGGGAAGGTGTCCCTGCCCGTGGAACTAAATTATCTTTACTAAATGATCCTGTCCCACCCAAACCATTCTGTGATTCCAGAATTACGTGCCAGAGCTGAGGAAAAATGTGGGTTTTTTGGGGGGGTTTTGTCCTGACAAAAAGGCAGGATGGTGTTTTCCTGCTCTACCATTTAGGATCCCAACCAGCACCTTCCCTTCCTGCTTTCCCAAACCGGGGAACCAGCTGCATTTTCATTTTTTGGGGTTTTTTTTAAAGGGCTGGAGAATTCCATGAAGTCTCTGACTTCACGCAAGGCAGCAAAATGCCTTTTTTTCAGCCTGCCAGGTGTCCACTCCGAGGCTGGGAGGAGGCTTTTCCCCGGTGCAATTTACAGGCCAGGTGGATTTCCGTTGCTTCCCCTTTCCACTCCGAGGCATCGAAGAGACGGCAGAGATTTGACGGACCATCAGTTTGTTCTCCTGTGCACATGGGCAGAGCTCGGGGGGGCTCAGGGTGTAGCTCTGCAAAAAAAAACACCCCAAAAAAATCCACATTAGTTACTGTCACTCTCGTCTTTCCCTGCAGGGTTCACTGCTTCCACTACCTGATCCCCCTGGCCAAGCAGGGCAACTACGCCATCGTGGCCAACGTGGAGAGCATGGACTACGACCCGCTGGTGGTGAGGCTCAACAAGGACATCAGCGCCATCGAGGAGGCCATGAGCGCCAGCCTGCAGCAGCACAAGTTCCAGTACATCTTCGAAGGTGGGGGCCACCTCCCACCACACCTTGGGCCTTCGAAAAGGGCTTTCTGGCCTCATCTAAAGCTCCACGGCCTTGCTGTGGATTGGGGGGTTGGTGGTGGCAATGGGAGATCCCTGTGGGGGTTTGACGGGGTGAGAGAGCTGGGAATGTTCATCCTGGAGAGGAGGAGGATCCAGAGAGACCTGAGAGCCCCTCCCAGGGCCTAAAGGGGCTCCAGGAGAGCTGGAGAGGGACTGGGGACAAGGGATGGAGGGACAGGACACAGGGAATGGCTTCCCAGTGCCATTTAGATGGGATATTGGGAAGGAATTGCTGGCTGGGAGGGTGGGGAGGGGCTGGACTGGATTTCCCAGAGAAGCTGAACTGCCCCTGGATCCCTGGAAGTGTCCAAGGCCAGGTTGGAGCAACCTGGGATAGTGGAAGGTGTCAGGGTAGGAACTGGATGGTCTCTTAAGTCCTTCCCAATCCAAACCCTTCCATGATCCCGTGATTCCAAGGCTTGCAGTATCTGTGTAATCCCCCCCCAATTCCCACCTGGCTGCAGACAGAGGATTTTTTTTATTCACCATCACACCATAGAGCCCCTCCAACAGCTCCATGTGTGTGTGTGAGGAGAGGGAAACACCTTCCCCCAGAGCCAGGGGGATCATTCCCATCCTGCTGAGCCGTGGGTTTGAAATTCCCGGAATTCCCACCCGCGCTCAGGAAACACGAGAGGCTCCTCCTCTTAACCCCAGCTTTGGGGTTCCTGGCTCTGCCCAGACAGAGGGATGGAAAGGGACATTCTGCAAAGCCTGGAGGCATCAGAGGTTCTGCCACTCGGATTTTGGGGGCAGTTTTGTGTTTTTGCTGAAGAAAGGAACGTTGAGAGGAGTCCTGAAATGCAGATCCTGAGGGCTGTTCCCGGTTATCCCTCGCTCCAGTGCACTCAACAAGCACTCATTCCTGGGGTTTTGTGATGAATTCTTGCCACTGAACCCCCTTCCTCCTCCTCCTCCTCCTCCCCCTGGGCAGGGTTGGGCCACCTCATCTCCTGCATCCTCATCAACGGCGCCCACTACTTCAAGCGCATCAGCGAGTCGGGCATCAAGAAGATGTGTCGGAACATCTTCATCCTGCAGCAGAACCTCACCAACATCACCATGTCCCGGGAGGCCGACCTGGACTTTGCCAGGTGAGCTCCTCTGGGGCATGGGCTGTGGGTTGAACTTAAACTGGGTGAAATTTGGGTGAAATAACGCCCAGGTGGGTTATATTTTGGTTGGTCGAAGGCTGGCGCTTTTAGCAGCTTCCCGGGAGCAGAGTCTGTGAAACCTCGGGGTGAGCAGATAAAGGTGGGCTTGAAGGGGGGGGGGAGGGGTCTCCTTCAAGTTCTGCTGATCTTTTTTATTATTATTCTCCCCCCAGATCTAGTTGAGATGCTAAATTAGCCCAGTTTTTTTTTTTTTTGGCAGGCAGGACAGAGCTTGAGCCTGTGCTGGCAGCCCAGTGGCACCCAAAATCTTGTGTCACAGCTCCAGTGCCTGCCCACCCTTTCCATGAAGGAATTTTCCCTGATATCCAATATCCAATCTAAACCCCCTCTGGCACAACTTTGAGGCCGTTTCCTCCTGTCCTGCCCCTTGTTCCTTGGGAGAAGAGCCCCATTCCCACCTGGCCACAGCATCTCTGTGGCCCCCTGGGGCGCAGATTTCTTCTCATCATCATAAAAATTCATCAGCTCTTCTTTTTAGCTCTTATGGCATCGCTTCCCCCTTCCTTTTAGGGCATAATTCCATGATCTAGAGAGTGTGTTTGATTCTTCTGTCCTTCAGGTGACTCCTGAATCCTCATTATCCAGGTTCTTTCCCATAAACGAGGCCCTGGTGCATCCCAAATCTCACCCACCTGCACCTCCTGCTGACTAGGGGGAAGAAATTCCCTCCCTGCTTCCCTTCTCCAGGGATTTGGGAGATCCTGACTGAACAGGAGAGAGGAGGTTTCCAACCCTGTGTCCAGGACACCCAGGGTTCAAGGATCAATTAGCCTCCAATTAACAATCAACACAGCGCTCTTCACACTTTCAGGTCCCTTTCAGGCATTAAATCTGAATTCTGGGATGGGTTTTGTGTGGTCTTCTCCTGCAAGTGAACATTATCTGAAGCCTGATATATCCAAATTTATGAGTCAAGGACTTTTAGGACTTCCCTGGGTGTCCTGCCTTTGATTCTGCTTTTATTTTTCCCCTTTGGATGTGATTTTCAGGGATTTTTAGGGGGCTCAGAGAGCACTGGGCATCCCCTTTCTTGTCTGCTCAGTAGAAACCCCAACCAGGAAAGCCAAAATCCCGTGGAGGATTCCCAGGAAAACTTCCCCCAGCTAACACTTGTTGGTCCTGGGGAGGCTTTTTCTGGTTTAAACCCCATTTTTAACCTGCAGGTGACAACAGCAGCACTTGGAGCTTTGGGAACAGCCCCATGGCAAGGGAAAAAACTGGGTTTAAATGAGTTTTTTACTTCGAGTTTCTCGGTTCAAGGCAGGGGAAAGTCTCAGCAGAGCATCACAAGGCACATTTCCATTAGGGGGAAAAATAAAATAAAATAAAATAAAATAAATTGCCAAGTTGTGTGAGCTCCAGGAAGGAAGGTTTGGGGTTGTTTTTTTTCCCCCACCAGGAGAACAGGGTAAAAACAGGCTGGCTCTGGCTGCTGAGGTGTCACAAAGGATTTGTGGCTTTTTGCTAAATTTCCTGCAAATATTAATAGGTTTTTAACTTCTGTGTGTGTGTGTGTATGTGGGTTCAGTATCTGGGCCACAGGAATGGGGTTGGTCATTAGGGCAGCCACTGCTTAATTAAAGGAAAAGCAGGATTTTTCTCCCTGTGTAATAAGTCTGGGACTGGCCATGACTTCCAGATACCTCCAGATTTCGGAAGCTTCACCCCCTGAATCGGATTTATGGCCTTAGAGGGATAAATTCAGCTTCAGATTCGAATTCCTGTTCAAGCCTTTTTCCCTCGTGCCTTCTTTCCTGCTCCTCCTTTATCCCTACCCAAAATTACTCTCCCATCTTCATGCAAAGATCTCTCATCAGAGGTAGTAAAAAAGGGTGAGGTTTAAGCTTCACACTTGTCTTTAAATAAAAATTTCATTCCATTCTCAGCTGTCCACTGGAAAAAAAAAAACCAAACAAAACTTTCTCAGACAAGCACCCTGGTTTGGATTGAGGGTTATTGAGGTGGTTTCAAAGGGAAGGGAGAGTCTGGTGATGAAAAGGGAATGATTTGTGTGACAGGTGACATTCTGATCTCTGAGGTGAAGGTCCCTTCCAACCCAAACCATTCCATGACTCAGTGATTCTCTAACAGTTTAGGAGGGAGCTTGGATTGACTTTCAAACCAGTCTGTGGTGGGAAAGACCAGTGTGGGGTTGGGAAGCAGTGGGTCTGACCCTCAGCTCTGCTCTGGTACCTGCTCTGCACCCTCATTTTATTTTTAATACCTGAGTGAATCACAGCAGCAGAGAGAGACCTTCAGGTTTGGGGTCTGGCCCTCACGTTTAGGATCTGACCCTCAGGTTTAAGGACTGACCCTCAGGTTTAGGGCCTGACCCTCAGTTTAGGATCTGACCCTCAGGTTTTGGTCTGATCATCAGGTTTAAGGCCTGAGCCTCAGGTTTTGGGCCTGGCCCCCAGGTTTAGGAACTGACCCTCAGGTTAAGAACTGACCCTCACTCAGGTTTAGGATCTGACCCCCAGGTTTAGGATCAGACCCCCAGGTTTAGGGTATGACCCCCAGGTTTAGGATCAGACCCCCAGGTTTAG